ACGAAGAAGTTAAAAGTGAGAAAACGCCGTGTGCAGTCACACGGAACGGCAAAACCGTCGAGCGTTGTAAAACACAAATGAGAATTAATGTGACTTCTTAACGCTTCATCTGCTTTCTTAAGGGCGCATGTGGTGCAGTGGTCGGAGAAGCCTTTCATCACATACATGGGATCGATCCCCGCGCTCCTGGGCTACCATGCTTTCCATTATTCCGTGGTCGGCGGACTGGTACCAGATTTGTCTGAGAGGATAGCACCACTTGCTCGATACATCGGTAGGGCCACTGCGAGTCATTGTAAAGGCCAGTTATGTATTCAAACATCTACAAGCGATGCTTAGTGAAGTCGAATGCATCCTTCGGGAATTGATCAACGCCGAGTGGCTTATCCTTTATTTTTTACATCTGTTCCCTGATTAAAGTTTTTAGAGACGATTTTCCCATGGGAACTAAAGCGGCAGTACGTTAGTGAGGAGCAGTGATTTATTATTCCCTTCAATGTGCACTTCTTATATGCTGTGGAAAGATTACAAAGCTGTGAAAAACTGATGTTGACTGTAAACTATCAGACAGCGACTTAATTGGAGCATTCAATGCTTAATGCTAAAAGATTTTTGCGCTTAGTTCGAAGGCGATCCAAGCGTATCGGAAATTGGGGGTTGAAGGCAATGAAAGATGTGAAGAAGTATCTAGTCGACTGAGATAGATGACAAAGCGTTCTTGGTCTTTATACGCCTCGTTAACCTGTATTGTTTTTTATCATTCTGGCCGCATAGAGAACCGTTGAATAAGAAATGCATGGCTTGCCATCGCCAGTTCGTCATCTGTTCGCTACCCTTCGCTTCAAGCGATTCCTTCTTTACGGAGCTCCAATGCGTTCGTATAAGTTGGCAAGTCGGTATAAATCTGACTTCGCCTTTCCAAACGAGGTTGCGACTGAAATAATGGAGTAGTGTGCGTTACCGTACTGTGGGTCTCTGTATCATGCACTTTTCAAAGACAATGACTATGCTGAAATTTCTTTGTGCCTCTTTCTTATCAGCGCAGCAGAAGTATTTTGCCGAATTCCTGAATTCCGTATAAAAGTTCGTCATGGTCAAGATAAGTGCATCCTTTCTTCCTGAGATGGTGAGTTGCTTCCTAGTTCATAATGGTTGGTTTGATTGCTGACACGAAACAACTTCTAACTTGCGCTCGACGTAATTTTGTTTTTATTTGAAAAAAGGTAACCCGGATAGCATTCGTGCATTGAATTGCCTGTTTCCATTGATGAAAACCCAACGAGAAATCAAACAACCTTATGATTAATCGTAGGGCATTTTCCACTTGGGTAATTTCACCATTAGATAGGCAGATTTTCAAACACAGGGCCACGTTTTATTCCCGGTATAAACCTTACTTAAAGCCGAAATGGTTCTGCTATGGTCTGTGTCTTCTTTCTCTTTGGAAGAATTGATACCCCACAATCGTTCTCAAACCAAATTTTTAATTTCCTCAACAGCTCAAGGGATAATGGTGACACGCAGAGCACTTTACTGAGCGAGGATTCCAACATTAGAAGTCCACCTTCTATTTGCAACTTTCGCACTCACTAAAGAAAACGGATCCGAAACTGTAACAACAAAGCATGTTAAAGCAATTGTAAACCTACTCCGAATACTCAAAAGGCAGACTATCTATAAACTTTGGTACAACAGTCGACATATCTGCATATACGTTCTTACGAACTGCAATTTTTTTAGCTGACACCAGATTGGTATGGATGTTCTTACAGTTGTCGTCGTCGTTGTTTAGTGGCTGACGTTTCGACGACTTCGCCTTCCTGAGAGCCTAGGTATATCTGGCTATTTGAGGAAGATGAAGTCGAAGAAAAATCAAACATTGAAGAACGACAAGAACAACAATAAGAACATCTATATCAAACTCGCATCAGAGAGCGACTCCTCCAGTAAGTCTTCCATTTTTCCCTGCCGCCTGCAAGAGTAGTCCAGTGGGTTTTGCTCACTCTAGGGACTCGTTGGGCATCATGTCTTTCCTGTAGGGTTTTCGTGAAGAATTTTGACCATAAGGTCGGCAGTCTTCCTGCCGTGCGTTTGACATCCCGAGGAATCCAGCCACTGACATCTCTTGTCCATCTGTTGTCATTCTACGCATTATGTGTCCGGCCCACTCTATCTTCAACTGCTTGGTGCACAGAGCGGCATCTTTGATTTTTGGTCATTGACGCAGGTCGGAGCTTCGGATCCCATATCTTACTTGTGTGAAACGGAATACTCCTATCATCGTCCTTTCGACTGCGTGTTCGATAACGCTGAGTGGCCTTTCATCCTGCTTACGCAGTGACTAAGTTTCTGACGCATACGTTGGGGCAGGAAGTACTGTTTAGTCGAGAAGGTAGGTGCGGAGTCGGGTGTTCTTTATTCTCTTCACCACATCCTCGATGCTCTCGGAGACTCCCCCAGTCGCTCCTTTTCTTATGCTCAACTTTGGAGCTCGGTCGTTCATCGTATTGATTTTAAAATAAATAAATAATAAGTAAAATAAATAAGCATAGTTGTAGCATTCGGAGACATTCGTTCCGTTGAGCGTGAATAGGGCATACAAAACCAATCCGTTCCTCATTAACATCGTTTTAGTGAGATTTAGTCAAAGACCAATCTTTCCATAGGCTTTATCAAAGTCGTCAAGCATATGTTCCGCTTAGCTAATGTTTGGTGTTATAAAGACGATATCATCAGCAAAGCGAAGATGGTGCAACTGCCGACCATCGATTTTCACTCCATATTATCCCATTCCAATGTTCACATGACGTTCTGGAGGGTGGTGGTAAATAATTTTGGAAAGACGGTATCACATTGCTTAACCCCTCTTCTGACCTCGATGTTAATATTGTAAGAACATATGCACAGATAAACCCAATATCGTTACCTGGATTTTCGGAGTGGTTTGACAAAGCATCTGCCGAGTACACATCCTCCCCTTAGGCACGTCTTTTTAAAGAACCAAGTAACAAAAGTGGGAAAACAAAATTTTTTGCTTAATGTGGTTTTGTTAGTTACCCTTTGATCCTTTCCATTTGGCAGTCTATGGCAGTATACCCTTCAGAAAATTTCTTAATTGCTGAGTTGCCATTAAAGCATTGGTCGCCCTGGTAGACTCAGAAAGCCTCTTTCTATGTTTTTCTTGTCAACCATAGATCTTTACATAAAGTCTTCGAAATGTTCGCCTCGACAATATAGTTTCTCCAAACCCTTGGAAAGACCACGAAAACTACTGAACTGCTACTTATGGATACCAGTCTTTGTCGTCCTTTTGTGAATAGAAAAAAAAATGTGAAAAATGAACGAAAAGAAATGAACGGCTTCGCAATGACTACCGCCGTAGACCGTTTGGTGGAAGTTCCATAACAGCCGCCGATTTCTATTCACTAGATGTTCTCAAACACCGCTCATTAGCTGTGCTTGCTTCTGCTGTAGGACTAAACAGGAGTTTATCTGTACCAGAGGGTTCGTTTCAAGGCAGGTCTTTTCTGTGAACTGTAGCCTGAGTCCTTACAGTTTCATTTCCACTGGAAACAGAAAATGCCATGAAATGTGACTGAAGTGCCCATCTTCTCTTCTGGGCGTGGATGCGTGTTCGAAACACTTGTCCATGAAGGATTAGAAGAAAGTTGATGAAACAACGTGTTTTGATTTCTCACGATTATGCGGAACGTAGCTGTTTTTCCAAAAATTCATTTCGATGTTCAAAAATGAAACCCGGTAATATTTCGATTTTTTCCGAAAGAGTTTCATATGCTTTGACCTTTATTCAGCGTTCCGAAAAGAGTGTTAGACTATCACTCCCATGTCATTTTCTCAACACAGCAATGTGTGACGTGTTTCACAGAGCGTCTAGGAAACTGCTGTGACAGTAGTTGTTACCTTAAAAAAAGGTTGGACTTGCTCACAATGAGAACTAGAATGAATTTAACTTTTTTCGAACTCTGTATTTTCCAAGTCCGACTTTCTATTATCTTCGGCATTGATTGAATATATATCTTTCTACTTCTGTTCAGCAAACACGAGGTGCTATTTTATTCCTTTATTTACGCACGAGCTGACGTTTCGGTGGATTTCGCCTTCCTCAGAGCCTGGAAGGGTCACGTTGACAGCAATCCATTCGGCCAAACACCTCCATAACCAAACAGAGAAAACGCTAAACCAAGATTTCAATCACATTTAGCATAGCTCTGCACACTCACCGCTGACAACTCATTGCTGTCAACTTGACCCTTCCAGGCTCCGTATTTTCTTTCATTAATAGGGAAGAACTTACCAAACGATTTGTTCACAAGGCACAAAATTTCTTCAGAGATTAACCGTCGCCACTCTAATCGTCTCACTATCGTGGGTATCCGCATTACCGGATAGAAATATTCTTGGTGAGTTGCATTAGCCTCGTACTCGATTATTCGACAACCGACTGTCGATTTTTAACGAAGCGCGTGAACAGTTCTACTTATTAGCTTTATATCACAAAATTACAGGTAAGCAGGAAGGCGATGTGATTACTCCAGAGCCACAGGCTCTCACTGACGCTGAACTTGTCGATTACATCAACGAACACCAGCAGCTTTTCAAGGTAACACTTGATCTTTTTAAAAGAAAAACCTTTGTAACAGTTGACACTTCTTAAAGACTAAGCTATTTTTGCACTTCTTGCTTTGGATACAATGTTAACTTAGTTGGAGCGAAATATCAAATTTACACAGCTAGATGCTCAATTTTTTGTTCTCCGAATTTTTTCTAAGATATCAAACAGTTCCCATCAAGTACTGCTGCCGAAGGGAAGTACTATTTTTATTTTAGCAAATTAGAAAAGCAGACAAATTTAGGCCGAAGATAGAGCTGATATTGAGGCGTTAAGAATGAAGGTTATGAAATCGAAGTACGTCAATCGAAATAAGAAACCCCGATTGGATGATACTGAAGACGATGGCACCAAAATTCCGCATAGGTAAATGAGACCTATAGTTTGCTAACTGATTGAAAGAGTGTTTAAAAAAAATGAAGCAGATAACTCTTCTAGTGTGGTCATTCACTTCATTACGATATAATCAGTTGTGGTCTAAACAAGGTTGGGTTAGCGAACAAAGCTAGAGCAAAGGTATTATTCATTGGTTGTGTATACTGCAAAAACCGATAAGCGGTCGAGATTACAATATCACCATGAAAGTTTGACCGTAGATAGATGATACAAGAATATACGAAAGTGGTTGTAGCTTCGACGCTCGTATCAAATGGCCTCATTGCCCTTCCATTTCCTATATCCGTGACCAGTCACAATGCGGTGAGGACATTTTAATTAATTTTCAAATTTAACGTTAAAATTAAGTGTAATAATGCGATTTGATGATTGCAGGCTCTTGTTGGGCTATCTCATCTGCAGAGGCTATGTCAGACCGTGTTTGCATCGCTTCGCACGGCAATAAGACGGTATGACGGTTTCATGGATTCCGAATTGAAACATTTCTTAAAGTTTCACGAATGATTTTAGGTTGAACTCTCAGCGGACGACATCATGAGCTGCTGCTTTGAGTGTGGTTCTGGGTGAGATGACAGCAATACTTTGATATAAAAATAGAACCTTGCTAGTAGTGCCATGCTTTTGAATATCATATGTCCTGCGATGACTCTCTAGTATCGCTTTTATATATGTACAAATATATGTGTAAATATATATGTATATATATATATACATTTATATATACGCAGGGGTGCCTGTGGCGCAAAGGTCGGAGGCTCCATACTATAGACATGGGATCGATCCCCGCGCCACCCAGGCCTCCACTTCTCCAATGTCCGCCGGTTGGCACAAGACTTATCTGGTAGGATAGCAGGCTGGTTTAATACATCGAAAGGCCAGTCACCGTAAAGGGCAGATATATATTCAACCACCTCCAACGATTCCTAATGAAGTCAAATGCATGGCGTATCTCTCAGGGATTAATCAACGCCGAGAGCTTTATCCTTTATCCTTTATGTGGACCACAGGATCTCAAAGTGGTGCTCAATGAAGGCTGGACGTCCTACTCTGCAGCACTGTGCACAGTATAGATTTCATCATCGTACAACAAACAACAGAAAAGATTTAAAAGTATTACAACATATAAATGAAATGCAAACGCTATCTTTTTCCCGTTTATAAGGCACTCATTTTTAGCTTATAAATGAAAGACGTAGATACCGATCATTCACAACGAGAGTAAATAAAAGTCGATTTACAGTAAATTATATGTGCCTCGAAATAACATGGAGCTAATTTTCAGTCCCGCTATTAATCACGGTCTACTATGGCTTATCCTAACCATTCAAAATTGTACAGTGAAAACAGCGCCCTGTTGTTGTGGCAGCAGATTACGAAGTTACATCCTTTCAAATACACTCTCGCTTCCCTCTTAGAGCTTACTCTCAAGTGACCAACTACTGAAGAGCATGCACATTGCACGTTTTCGTTTTCGGTAAATCTGAAATGCCAAAAAATGTGTTTGTTTGATAGCTAAAGAAATTCAGATGTGATGGTGGCTGGCCTATCTCGGCATGGCAGTACTTTGTAGAAATGGGTGTTGTCACAGGCGGACTCTACGGCACGAAGGTTTTTCCGTAATTTATCGTTGTTGTTTTTCTAGTACAACAATAGACTGGTTTCTTTGCTCTTGTAGGACGCATGCAGACCATACGAAATCCCACCGTGCGGTATTCATAAAAATGAGACCTTCTACAGTAATTGCACTCAAGAAATCGACACACCTGATTGCAAAACCACATGTCAAGCCGGGTATCCGATTTCTTACGACGACGACAAAACGTACGGTAAGTAAATTTTTTCAAATGAGATGACCGAGCAAGTAATAGAAATACCATACCAGCGCTATTAATGGCATCTCACTATCCCATTCAGGAAAGACTTCGTACGATGTTGCGAACTCAGTGCTTGCCATTCAGAAGGAAATTATGACCTTTGGACCAGTGGTCGCAGTTTTCACTGTATATGGCGACTTCTTTTTTTATAAGACCGGAATTTACAAGGTATTGTCTAATGTGAAAGCTTATCGTTTCTTGTCGTCTGGACGTTTAATGGCCTGTTAACGTTGCTACAACCGAATGCCTGGTCTTTAGTCCTACTAGCAGAGTACTCTAGAACCTTCCTGTCTGTTCTGGGGTATGCCTCAATTCGGTGAAAGAAACTCTGAATAGTTTCTGATTTGAATAGCGTTTGCATTTACAGGGAATTCAGACTGTTCAATCGGGCGCGTTCATTGGCTTAGGACTCGACTACTCGCAAGCATTGTTACCGTGCTAGTAAAATGCTAGTCAAAGGCACCCAAGTGGTTCCGCTGAAAGCACGCTCGACTAGCACTGAAGTGATTATTAAAGCACGGCCAATTTTGCAGTAGAGTCCAAAGCATTTCAAAGAATGCAAGGAAACAAAACAAAGGGAACAAGTGCAGTGGTTCTCACGACCTGTCAAGGCCAGGCATTTTGCATTTGCAGGCAAAATGCTTAAGCATTTTAGTGTTCGTGGTGCATGATAATGACAGAGTCTCATGAAGTCTATCGCGCACGTTCTGTTGCAATAACTTCTTCGATAAACCAGATGAACGGTCATCAAAAGCTTCCGATCTGTTTGACCAATGTGTTACAGGAATGGATACGTAAAATTCCAGGAGCTTTTAAATACAGCACGTTTCTAAGTTAATCGTTGGGCTGAAAGGGCGTCGTTGTTCATGAATTCCCATGTATACCCGTGTTTTATAATTCATTAATCTTAAACTAATATATAATGAAAGATATAAAAAATAGGGGTCTGTGGCGCAGTGGTCGGAGGCGCCCTGCTATACACACGGGGTCGATCCCAGCGTCCATGGCTTTCCATCCATCCGCGGTCGGCAAATTGGTACCAGACTCGTCTGGGAGGATAGCAGCACTGGCTCGATACATCGGTAGGCCATCGCGGGTCATTGTAAAGACCAGATACACATTCATTCACCTCCAACGATGCTTAATGAAATCGAATGCATGGCGCATCCCTCAAGGATTGTTCAACACCAAGAGCTTTATCCTTTTTATCTCCTAATAAAAAGTAAACCAGTTATTTAAGAGTTTAAAGGTCCAGAAACTGCTTACAATCTCACCAACCAAAACTTAGAATATCATGGATTAAACAGCTCAACCGAGTGGGTGTTATAGCCGTGAACGTTGACTGTCTAAATATTTTGCTTGATGATGGGCATTTCACTTTGTGTCAGTAAATTTCTAAAGCCTCCACCTATTTCTGAAATTTCTAAGTGTTGTTCAGCTAAAATTCTCCAACGTGAATCGGTCTCCAGATTGTTGAAATGTTTGCCTAGGCCTCTAACAAAGGTCGACACCTTCTCCTACAGAAGCAGACGAACTATGTCGGTGTGTCGTAATAAAAAATCGAGAAGTTTTTCCTAGTATATAATGAGATAAACACTGCATCATTTCAGCAAAACGCGTATACAAATATTTAACAACAAAGAATTTAGCATGTCTCTGGTGAAGCGGAAGGAGGTCACGCCGTGAGGATTCTTGGATGGGGACAACAAGGTGGAGTCCCCTACTGGCTGGTTGCTAACTCATGGAATACTGACTGGGGAGAGAATGGTAAGCAAAATCCTTCTTGGTTAGAAGAAGTGCTAGAAGTTTAGTAATCTGACTAGAAGGAATGGCTTACGTTAGCTTCAACAATAAAGGAGATGTTCTCATTAATAATCTTTTAATAAAATCATAAGGTTCTTAAGGTTACTTCCGTATACTTCGAGGATCGGATGAGTGTGGAATAGAAGACGGTGTGGTCGCTGGACAAGTCTGAGATCATTTGCTGATATTGAATTATTTAAGATAAAAGAATTACACTTTTACGACTCCATTCTTCATCAACAGTAATGGATCTGCCCGTTCGTCTTTGCCAAGAAACTCATTTATTTCGCACACACTAGTTAATATAATGCAGTACCACGACTTTAATAACGCGTATCACTGAACTTTGACGCTGGTTGGATTTTTTCAACTCGACAACAGGCTGCACTTGCTTAATAAAACCCGGTGTTTCCTCACTTTCAGTGGAAAAATAGCAAGCATCTGCAATAAGCCAATGAGTTACTCCAGTAAAATCCAGTATAGCTCCGCCTCCATATTCCCAGGTATTCTATCAGAGCGCGATCACCTAATGAATTAATATCGTAGCAAAGAAGACATTCCAGAATTTAAAAATCATACTAAAAGTCATAGCTTCGCATTCATTGGGCATTCATCACGGGAGGAACCATTTTCGGTTACCTTGACGTCGTTCTAAAATATCACCATGAAAGACAGGCAAAACCAAGGAACCCCACGGTGTGGTGGTGAACGCGTTAGCCCCCGGATAGGGTAACAGCTTGCTCGTTTCCCACCGCAGACACTGCGGTCCGGAGTTTTGCAAATATCTCAGCCAAGTTGTGGTTTTCGCTTAATACCCTGTCGTGATAAAGTATAGTAGGCAAAAAATGAAAAGTAAAACAATATCACCCTATGCTTTTAATTTTCCTGAAGCGACAAAGACATGCAGAAACAAACACCTTATCCACTTCCAGTAACAAAGATCACTCCCACGCAAATGGAGCTTATTTAGTGGTTTCCAAGAAAACCGAACATGGCGATTTCCATACAAGCGCATAACATGGCGTTACAACGGCAGTTAGTGGCGTCTCACCTTCTCCGCTTTAGATAAAAACTCTTCGAAGGGCAGCGACTGTCGCCTCACCCTTTCGGTTCCAAGCGGAAACCGTTATAACGGCAGTTAGCGGCGTCTCACCTTCGCCGCTTCACGTGGAAACCCTTCCAACGGCAGCCGCTGCCTCCTCACCCTTCCGGTTACAAGTGGAAACCGTTAAAACGGCAGTCAGGGTCGACTCACCTTCGCCGCTTTACATGAAAACCCTTCTAACGCCAGTCGTTTCCGCCTCACTCTTTCGGTATCAAGTGGAAACCGTTGCAACGGTAGTCACCGGCGTCTCACCTTCTCCGCCTTACATAAAAACCCTTCGAACGGCAGCCGCTGCCTCCTCACCGTTTCGGTTTCAAGTAGAAACCGTTACAACGGCAGTCGGGGGCGTCTCACCTTCGCCGCTTCACGTGGAAGCTGCCAAAAGGGCAGTTAGCGGCGTCTCACCTTCGCCGCTTCACGTGGAAACCCTTCCAACGGCAGCCACTGTCGCCTCACCCTTTCGGTTTCATGTGGAAACCGTCGGAACAGCAGTCAGGGGCGTTTCACCTTCGCTGTATGATATGGAATCCGCCAGTTTCGCAGTCCTTCTGTCTCACCTTAGCTTTTTATCCTTGAAACCGTGGGCGTGTACTGAAGATTTCCACGTTGAACAGCGATCATTTCTGCATTACCTTCGCTATTTCACGCGGGAAACGCCGGTTTGGATTGACAATTTTTGATGATCGTCTACGCATATAAAAAGTCTTTCGGTTCCAAGTGGAAACCGTTAACTTAGTCTCATGGCTTCACGTGGAAACCGCCTTTCTCTTTATGGAACAGCTGACAAGAGCGGGATGAAAAAATTGCACGTTCGTTTCCGATCACCAATAGGTGAGTAATATTTGTAGCTCATGCCTGCTTGCACGTTTGCATGTGGATGTTACTTACATGTCACGAAATGTTGGCCGTAAACCTACGATAGTTGTTGTCGTTGGATACATATACTTAATAACGTAATCTATTGTTTCGGCTGTCTTATTTTGTGTACGGTAATAAGGGCTGAATAGAGAAATGTTCCGACTTATGTCAGTTGAACTGCCTCCCATATCGAGGCGGATCACTATACTGTTCTTCGTCGTGTCATATAAACAGTCAGCGAGAATCCTATAACTCCACCAGCAGGCTCCGGAAGAATGGCCTTTCGACCACAGAATCTAGAGCGGAAAATTGGGACCATGTTGAAAGACCCGATATTTCAAAAACCTTAGTTCTACTCTGTTTATCAAAATGTTTATCAAAAACTTTACGCTGCAAAGACCTCCACTATGTGCGTAAAATCCACTTTTCACTTTGTAACCTGCAGGAAAATCCGTTTCTGAGCTTGTCGATACATTTCTTGACTATAGTAATTAAATATGCATCAGTTCACATTGAAAATTCTTCAATTATCCAACACTTCATCGATTAATGATGAAACTGCTTCGTGACGCTGACTGATTACCATTTTGTACAATGAAGCTTCGCCAAGCATCTAACCAGTACTTTTTGACTTTCCATGAAAATATGCTTATTAGTGTACGTTCTTAATAACACATGCACCACCAACAGAAACTAACAACGTAAGAAACGACAATCAAGTCACTAGCCCAAAAAGAAAGTTTCCTTTTCATGAAGAAGATCCGTGTGCGCCATTGTCATAACAGATATTACTCTCGAAGTACAAAAATAAAAAAGCAGCGATTATGTGATTTTATAGAAATAAATATGAGGGCCAAGTGGATCACACACGTTTCGCAGAAGAAACCAAAATCATTGGAAATACGGCTAAAATCAATCGATACAGCCATCAACTCTAACACAGTATGAATGGGTAATGCCCACAAAAACGTACCCAGTCCTTATTTTTATATTAAAGTAACAGATCTTTCGGTTAGTAAAGAGCTCATAAGTTACCTAAGCCGCAATGTGTACTAATCCACATTTAATCCACGGAATAACCATATGTATTCGTATTTGACTCCCTTTCTTATACGAAAGAAATCGATCGTACTCATGGGAAGAAAGTCTTGACCTTTTTATCCTTCAATTTCATTATGTGACGATGCTGTGTCAAATTAATACCCATCTTTCAACATTCTTCATTTCAATGATGCTGAGATAGTTGCAAAACTCCAAACCGCAGGTGTCTGCGGTGAGGAACGAACGCGCTATTGTCCTTTCCGGGGCGTAACGCGTTCACCACCGCAGACGCCTGCGGTCCGGAGTTTTGCAAATATCTCAGAATCATTAAAGTTATATTTTGCAATATACCCTGCCTTTAAAAAGAGTAGGCAGTAAGTAATAAGTTAAAATTCTTTATTTCGACACCTAAATAGTTACTCCCATTCGCTTTCGTTTCTTCATTATTCAGAGCTCCATTACTGGCCAGAACATCTTGTGTTGTGCAAAAGGGCATCGAAGTAACTTGTCGTTCAGAACATATGGAGCGCCTAAGAAATTTCCGTGCCTATATCGATGTGGTATTAGATCTGTAATGGCTTCGTAAACCAATGCCTGAAAATAAATGAAAACCATAAGGCGAACCAAGCGCGAGAACTGTATTCTGAACCCCACCACCGCGCGATAGGCGGTCGATGGTGCAATGGAGCCTGAACAACAAGAGAATTCCATTACGCTTAGTATAAATGTGGTCGATTGGAATTGGAAAATTTTTCGATGAGTATGAACATCGTTGCTGCTCTTCTGATTTTTGTTACGGTATGTTTATCCCTGTTCACCACACTTGCGACGACATGCATTGAATTCAATGTGTATGGAGCGAAAATAACGGTCATTTTCAAGTTTAAGCTGACCCGTGGATATCAATAAACCTTATTAGCTGAAATAAAAAATATTAAAATTTACAGATTTATTGTTACAAAGTTAAATTAAATTCTCATTTTTGCAAATCACAAGTTTCTTTTGATTTTTTCTTCATCAAAGCTCGTATTTAGAATACAAATGCAATTGAATACCCAAATTTCGTCCAGTAGTAGAGTTTCTTAAACTATCGTTGGTTTCTCCAGGTCTCTCAGCTAGTCCTATCGATCTCTGCCACGAGCAATCACCAGTCACCGGGATGCGATGAGACAGACGAAGCAAAGGACCCACATGGTGTGGTAGTGAACGCGTTAGCCCCCGGAAAAGGTAATTGCGCGTTCGTTCCCCACCGTAAACACCTGTGGTCCGGAGTTTTGCAAATGTCTCAGCATCCTTGTGGTTGTATTTTATACTTACCTTTTCTATTCGTTTACCCAAGTTTACTGTCCCCGTATCGGCCGGAACATTTAGGTCCCTATCGAGTCGACTAGTCGTTCAAGTCCAATTGGACATCTTCGCCATATATATGTGCATATATATATGTATATATATATATATATATATATAGTCGATGTGGTGATGAATTTGTGATGTTAACAATTTGAGGGCAAAAAATCAGTAGCGTGACAAAGAGCAGAACGGATGGAACGCGAGAGTTGGATTTTTCTGACCACCTCGTCAGCTCGTAATGGACGACAGATGACATAAAGTGACCCGGGCAGCGAAAAAACTGTTTTTCATATCAAAGTGATCGGCTTGGATGAAAAATCATTCGACGAGGATGAACACTATCGTCGGTCTTCTCGTTGTTATAACCGTACGTTTAGCAGTGTTTTACACATTTGCGACGATGAGCATTGACTTCAACGTGTACGGTACCAGTGTAATTGCCGCTTTCAATTTTAAACGAACACGCTTCAGCTACTCAAGATTGTACGAAAAAAGGATAAAGCTCTCAGCTTTGATCAATCTCTAAGGGATCCGCCATGTATTCGACTTCATTGAGTATTGTTGGAGGTGAATGACTGTACATCTGACTTTTACAATGACTCGCGGTGGCCTACCGATGTGTCGAGCCAGTGCTGCTATCCTCCCAAACAAGTACCAATTTGCCGACCCTGGAATGAGCCGCAGTGGCGCCTCCAATCACTGCGCCACACACGCCCTTGTCAAAATTGTAAGCCGATATAAGTACGATTAGAATTTGCTCATCTTTGCCACAGAGGTAAAAGATTCCGTCTTCTTTCAAGGCAAAATTATGACTTTCT